ACCTTGCGAGGACAAGGCGCACAGATACTGGGCCTCACCCCATAGGCAGGACCCTCCTCTGCTTCAGCCTACCCCACATCTGAGCTCGGACAGGGGCTGGGCACCGTTGGATGGGGTCTGGGGAGTCCACGCCATGGAGGCCATAGGAGTGAGGCTTCCCCCTGTCCTGAGTAGGAAGCCAGCTCCCGTCCTGTCCCCAACAGTCACCTGCAGCCTGCAGCAGGACCTGACTGATCTAGTCATTGGCTGCCATGGCCTCGAAAGCAAGGAACGGCCCCACCCAGCCTGGCTCCCAGGACCAGGCTCCACTGGCAGCCTTGGGGCTCCAGGGGCACTGTGCCTGTTCCAGGTGGTTCGGGCTCCTCTCAGGTGAAAAGGATCCCATGGTTTCAGCTCAGCCTGGGAACAGGACCAGGCTCTGAGCCCCACGCAGTGGCACCTGACCTGCTCCTTTCTTGGGGAGTGCAGCAGGGACACCCAAGTCCCCAGAGCTCACCACAGAGGTATCTGCAGAACTATGGGAGCCCCAGGAGCAAGGGCAGACATACCTGGCCCTGGTTGCCCAGCAACGGGGGATGAGACCCGTGCCTGTAAACAAGGAAACGAAAAGCGGGAAACTTCGAACAACTCCAGGAGACGTCCGACATCCTTAGCATGTAAGGAGCTCCTGCAGGTCAGCAGGGCAGGGCAGCCAGAAGCCCCACAGCGAAAAGCACACAGCGCTCCCAGGACAGGAAGTGCGATGGCCCAAGGAGAAGGGCGCGCGCGTGCGGGGCGCAGAAGCCCTCTCCCTTCCACATGGCCGTGCGTGGTGCAGCTCAGGGCTCCGCCCGGGCTGAGGAACAGGTGCCGGAGCCCGCCCAAGGCACTCGCCCCTGGCCACACACTGGAGGCTGGGTCCCCGTTCCATCCCTCAGAACACGCTGGGCACATCGGTCCTCTTGGGATCCACAGGCAGGGACCAACGGCACGCTGGGGCCGTGTGCAACCGAGGGGTCCACACAGGTCCCAGTGCTGGTGTCACCAAGGCAGTTGAGGGCACTGACCATGCCCTGTGAGAGGGGAGAACATTTTCCTGCTCTCGTTTAGGACTTTCAGGGGCCACTGGCAGTGCTGCACGGTTCCCATCCCCATCCCCGGAAGAGCTTGGTGCCTCCCGTGCATGACCCTTCAGAAATGTTTAAAGTCCTGCACACGAAGCCCCCAGGCTGCTGGTAGGGAGCAGAAGGCCCTTGGGCCCAAGTGGCAGAGGCAGCGAGTGGGGACACAGAGGGGGACTTTCCCAGTGTTGGCCTGGGGCCATGGGGCCCTGACCTGGCTGTCCCAGCCCAGGCCACTGGCGAGGCAGCCGTGGCTGAGGCCAGGCAGGAGGGGGCTGGGGGCCGCTGAGGTCCCACAGGGGCTGCAGCACAGCCACGGGACCAGATGGCTTCTCCGGTGGGAGCGCGGGCCAGGCTGGCTGCTGGCCCTCCGCCCACTGCTCTTTGATGTGCTGTTGTTTTTTGCTGGAAAATCAGTTCTGCAAGTGCTGCTGGGGCCCGGCCAAGGGCAGCTGGGGGCGGCTTCCTGGCCTTTGTGGGGCCTTCCGGAACCAGGGCAGGGCCAGCAGGGCGGGCGCCAGCAGCCATGGGGAGGAGGCTGGCTCCCTGCCCTGCCTGCACAGGCTGCCCCACGATGGCCCTCCGCCCTCCCGGCCCCTGCCTGCCCTGAGAGCAGCAACCGGCCTCCTCTTCCCTCCCTCCCCTGCCCAGCCAGGGTGCAGGGCGGCCACAGGACAGCAGGTGTTCATGGACACACAGGCGTGGCCTGCTGCCCACCCCCAGGGCCCTCCACAACACCTGCCCTGAGTTCTGCCCTGCACACACAAAATCGCTCTCCTCATACCGGTGCTGAGCAGAGGACCCTCGCACAGCGGGAGAGCTGCAGCCTGCCCTGAGGCTTCTGCCCGCCTCCATGTCAGCCCTTTCTGCAACAAGAGTGGCCCGGGCCCAAACAGCTCAGTCCATTTCTGCTGCCTTTGCAGTCCCACCTCCTCGGTAAATTAGCTTTAGTTTTACACCTGCAGCATAAAACCGCACTGATTAAGCATCGGTGCACACACGTGCACACACATGCACACACCCTCGCCTGTGCACATGCACACCCAGCTCCCCTGGGCTCTCAGTTCATCGGCCCATCGCTCTCTGACCGTCGGAGCCCAACTGCTTTCTCACTGGCCTCAGTAGAGGAGCACAGGGCAGGACGGCTCCTGGTGTGTTGCCACCCCCTGCCCCATCCGGTGCCTCTCCCAGCACACTGGCCATGTCTGAGCGTCCCCTGCATGGCCATGTGACACAGCCTTCGCAGTCTTGTTTCGTCCAGGCGCTGGCTGATGGCAGGGGCATCTGTGCAGACGTGTGGCAGCAGGTGCACACAGAGCCCCTCTTCCTGGCAGTGTGTTCCTGTCCCAGTGTCAGCCACGAACCCCAGGATGACATGGGGCTCTGGCCACATCCACCATCTCACAGATGCAGGAAGCGAGGCCGGGCCCAGGGACCTGGCCCTGCCTGCCGCTCCCCTTCCTGTGCACCCTCAGACCTGTGCGGTACAGGCTCCTGCCTCCAAGGGCAACGGGCATCGATGGGATTCATTTCATGGCTCAGAAAACCTCCTCTGACTTTTCTTGCCCCTCTGCCCTCCAACTTGAAGTCATGGTTGCACATCCTGGCTCCCTAGCACCATCCTTCACAGTGGAGACAGTCTTGGCATTCTTGGCAGAGCAGGACAAGCCACTGACTTGGACAGACGAGGCTGTGTCCCCCAGGGAGTGGAGACAGAGCCTCCAGGCCAGTGGCCACAGTGTGGGCTCAGAGGCCCAGTCAGGTATGGCCAGGGCGGAGGGCCTGCTCCTGAGGGACTGGGGGTCCTCAGCACCCATAGGCCACCGTGGTCCCGAGAAGCGCCTTGGTCACCTGAGTACCCAGCGCAGTAGTACACAGTGCTGGTGTGGGGCCGCCTCAATGCCCACATCACCTCAAGGCACTGGTCCTGGGGGCCTGGGGTCACTTCAGCAATGGCACAGCTACCCTTGTGGTGGCTGGATTCCTCCTGAGACATTGGGTCCTGGGACTTTCTGGGGTTTGAGTCTGTGCAAAGGGCCCTCTTCAGATGTGGACCAAGAGCTCTGCACACCTGCCCAGCGAGCCCAGACGGGGCAGTGTCCATGCTCTGACGTCTACGGCGGCGGGCGGCTCTGGGTGGAGGGTTTGCAAACTGAGCAGGGGAGTCAGCTTCACCGGAGCTTTCTTTGAGGAAATCGTACTCAAGCTCAATTCTTTAATACTTACAGAGCTTCCTGATCTTTCCGCGTTTTGAACACCTTGTAGCAGGTGATATTTCTTTTCTTCTCCATTTTCACAATTTTCAGCAGTACTCATCATACACAGCCTGTCACCTTGACTATGAGAACGTAACAGGTTTCCGTCCTTCTTTTCCCTGATGCAGCTCAGTCCCCGAGTTCCGTTCTAGGAGAATGTTCGTAAGTTGGATTCGTTTGTCATCAGACAAAGTGAGTCTTACACAGTACACCTGTGAAGGTTTGCAACTCTAACATTCGCAAATCAGGGACTTGCTGTGTTGGTTTCTGTATTTTTTCTTGCATCTGGACAGTTTTATCAATTTCAACATTTTTTGCAAACTTGAATTCCCCGATCCTACCACTTAACCTATTTTACCGATTTCCAATTCCTTTCATCCACCCGCCTAAGTTTTAAATTTTGTTCTACTGCTTTCATTTGCTTAGCAGGTACACATAACCTCTCTTAACTTCAGCCTCTCTTCTTTTCTAACACGTACACTCAGGGTACGTGGATGGTCAGCGTTCACTGCCGGTCACGGAGGGCACCACTCGTCCTGGTCCTGGGGGCCCCGAGGTCACTCAGCATGCACACTGCTCACCCATCCTGCCTGGGCCACCTCCACATTCCCATGCCCCACCTCGCCGGCCACACCAAGGCCCTGTGCTGTGGCAGGCTCCATGGCCCCGGCCTGCCAATGGCGTGGGTGACATACACGTCAGCCTGAGCCCAGCCCTGTGACTGGCAAGACATAAGCTGCCCACTCCAGAACCAGAATAAGCCCGAAGAGGACAAACAGCATGGAGCCCCAGGCCCAGGCGCAAGAGAAGCCCCAGTACAGCTGCTGGCTAAAGGACAGGAAAGGTGAGCAGCGGGCAGACAGCGCTTCCTGTGCCCAGCCCACGTGTACGCAGGTGCGGGCCCATCACATGCACGGACCGGAAGTGGCCACAGAGGTCCTGGCCACTGTGTTCACCACAGCAAAACCACGGGGACCACGAGGAGGTGAGCTTGAGCCAGGAGCCACCAGGCAGAGCGAGCAGAGGGGCACAGAAAACAACTGGGAAGCCCGACACCGTGCCTGGCAGGGCCGGCGAAGCAGAGGCCTTAGGGGCCAATGTCCCGGGACAAGATGCTGTGGCCACAGGGGCACAGGAGCTTGGGCAGCTAGCCTGGCCAGGCGAGGGGCAAGGCCAAGCCAGGGACACACGTCCTAGCGCAGCCTCAGGAGGATTTCCAAGGCAGCCCAGAGGCTGGCACGTCCCCGGGGACACCCAGAATCAAGGGAGGCATGATGTCCCTGCAGCCTGTAATGGTGCCCGTGGCAGCTTCCTGCCGTCTCCAGCAGCAGGGGCCTGGACATCTGCTCCCCCACTCCAGGTACCCCACTTTTCCCTGGCCACAGGCTTGCTGGAGGGGAACTTTGCCAACAAGGCAGTGCACATGGGGCTGGCCAGTCCAGTCCCGTGGGGGCCGCTGGCTGGGCGAAGAACCACACAGCATGGACCCGTCACTGTGGCCTGTGCCCGTGCACGTGGCTCAGCACACGCAGGGACCGCTGCCTGTTCCTGAGAGGCCAAGGCGGGCCTTGGTGGGCAAGGCGGCAGGCGGGACAGAGACCCACAAGGGGCTGTGAGACAAAGCCACTAAAGCACACACTAGGCATGCTGGCTCTTTCTGGGATTTTTATTTCTTTAAAATAATTCATACAAATGGTTACAGTCACAAACATGATTTTAACCAAAAATATTGCTAGCCTACCACATCAGCAGGACGGCACCGGCACAGGCGGGGGTGCTGCGACCCTACGCCTCCCCCAGGACAGACGTCAGGGCTGGCAGCACACTGGGGCTCTGACCTCCTCTGAGCTGCTTCCAGATGCCGACTGCATTTGGAACGGGGTTCATGCCAAAATTAGGAAAAACAGCCTTTGTTTTGTTTTTTCTAAATTATTCTAAAAATAAGACAAGCAGGTAGAAAACAATGCACTGTGTGGCATAAAAAGAAACGCGGGAAGGATTCATTGTCCTGAGAAGTGTGCCGACCGCCTCGCTGGGGCACGTTCCACATAGAGAAGGAAAAGGAACCCAAACTGACTTGCTGAATGCTCCCTCAGGTTTTCTTTATGTTGACAGCTAAGCAAACAAATCCTCTGCAATGTTCTAAGAACTGTACACAGACAAGAACATCCATGATAGAATTAACTACTAACTTCTTTTGCTTAACGAGGAACGCAAAGGACACAGGACAGTGAGCCAGCCACGGGACGAGACAACTACAGTCGACACGAGGAGCTGCGTGGCTTACGCCCCGAGCCAGTCTCTGGGCGCTGGGGCCACCACCGGGCGGGTGCCACCTCTGCGTGCCCCGGCCTGAGGTGCACAGCGCCCTCCGCTGGGAGCTGAGGCTGGAGGGCTCCTCCCGGGCTACAACTGGTCACTTGCGTGGTCTCTGTCTGCCTCTGGCTTGACAGTTTGGCCAGGAGAAGGGGCGTGGGGTGGGTGGGCCACGGGGGGCAGGCCGTGGGACAGGGACATGGCGCTGGGGACGATGCCTTCGACAGCAGCAGGGATGCCAGTGGGGGCCACGCCCACGACACCTGGCGGGTACCTGCTGGCAGGAGCGAGAGGCGGTGAGGTCCCGGGGTGGGGGCCGCCCCCACGAGTGTCCCTACTGGCTCCGCAGGCGCCCTCGGGAGGCTCTCCTCCCACCACGGCCCTTGTCCACAGCGCCCGCCGCCCTGTGCCTGGCTAGCCCCGAGGTCTCGTGGTCCCTGCCGCTCACCTGTAGGCAGCCCCGTTGAGCTCAGGGTGCACGGCGGCGGGGTCCATGCTGGCCCAGTGAGTGGCCGCGGTCAGGTGGTCCTTGTTCACGCAGTTTCTCAGGCTGTCTGGGATGCGGCCTGGGTGTGGGGAGGGGAGGGCAGGGCCGGGTCACCCCTGGAGCACCGCCCCGCAGGGCCCTGGGTTGTGGCCCCAGTGGCTCCCTCCCAGCCCAAGTGCCTGGGTCCTGCCCGCCGAGGACTCAGTCGCCCCATAGCTCGCTGAAGATGCAGCCGGCCAGGACTTCAGAGCGAGCACTGCCACTTTCAGTGCACACAATGCCCCTCGGGGCTCCAGGTGCGAGAGCCAGTGCTGCTGCCCCGAGCTGGCACGGGCCTGGCCGGCAGGGTGGGACCCACCTGTGATGGCCCGCCGGATCTCACGGGCAGCCTCCTCGCGCATCTCAATGGATGCCTGCTCGCTGTACCATGCGGCATGCGGGGTGCAGATGAGGTTGGGCGCATCCTTCAGGGGTCCCTGGCTGAAACTGAGCACACAGGTCAGTTGGGGCAGCACGGCCAGTGCCTGTCCTATGCTCCAGGCGAGATGACCGGCCGTGTGCTCCTAATGGGATGGGGCCAGCACACGGCCCCCCAGCCACTGCCTTCTCCTTCAGAGGCCGAGTACTCAGCCCAGACTTCTTGCTGCTGGAGTCCCTGGATGTGGGGGCGAGGCCCAGCCACCTCAGGCACAGGAGGGCACCATGGGCATGGTGCAGTCCAGCCGTCTAGCTCGGCCCTGGCTGACAGCTGAGACACTGCAGGCCCCAGAGGAAGATCGGCCCGAGCAAGACCAGAGGCTGCTGCAGTGGCCAGCTCCACAGTGCCCTGGCCCCGAGCCCACTGCGTACCTTGGGCACTGAACCTCACCTCACCCCACCACGGGCACAGGCTGTGGGAGCCACTCCATTCTAGGACAGCAACTTCCCACGTCCCAAAGGCCCCTGGAGCTGCCTCCTGGCTGCCCCATGGTGACCCCAGTGCCACCCCAAGCGTGCCCTCCTGCCATGGTGGCCCAGAGTGTCTGTCAGGGTCAGAAGGGCCTTTCCACGGCCTGCTCCTGCCCGCACAGCCTACGCCCATGACCTTGACCAGTATACCAGCCTCTCCCCAACACCAGCCACAAGTTTGAGGCTGGAGAGTGCTGTTGCCTGTCACACACAGCTGGCACCTGAAGGGCTCGGACTCGTGCACGTCGAGTGCTGCGCCACGGATTCGTCCCTCCTTCAGGGCCTGGGCCAGCGCCTTCTCATCCACCAGCCCACCGCGGGCTGTGTTCACCAGGAAGGCCCCCTGCCTCATCTGCAAGCACAAGCACCACAGGATGAGGGCTGCCCTCGCCTTGCTTACCGCACCACCCCACCCCACCCCAGCGCCAGGAGGGCCTCCCCCCACTCCAACGCAGCCCAGCCCAGCTCCTGAGCTGCACGTCCGCCCTTCACAAGGACCTGGCCCTCCCTGGGCCCTGTGCCAGGATGACAGCCAGGCACTCAGGTGTCTCCCAGAGCAGGGCTCTGGCGCAGGGCCCACATCCAGGGTGGGCTGTAGCAGCTGCTGGTCCAGGCAGCGCACTTCCCAAGGCCTGCACAGCCACTCCCCTTCGGCCACCCACCATGGGCTCTGGGTCGACAGCGCTGTTCACGGCCAGCTGCTGCCCACTGTGGCCTTGCACCCGCGGCTTTACCCAGCGCCCGTGTGCCACACCGTCCACGGACAGCACCTGGCTCTGTCCTGTGCGGCTCAGGGTGTGGGGCAGACAGGGTGGGTGCACAGCCCCATGGAGCACACGGCTGCACACCTGCGGCCATCTGCGGGCCTGTGGGGTGGGGTGGCAGAGGCCCATTGCACACACCTGTTTGACAGTGAAGTCATTGATGAGGTGGTGGTTGTGCTCATTGAGGCCGCAGTGCAGCGTGACACAGTCGCTGTGGAAGAGCAGGTCCTGCAGGGTGCTCACACGCTGCAGCCCCAGTGCTCGCTCCACACCGTCCGGCAGGTACGGGTCATAGAAGAGCACGTTGAAGCCGAAGGCCTTGGCCCGCAGTGCCACTGCCTGTCCCACTCGACCTGTGGAGCAGGCGGAGTGAGAAACAGCGTCCCCAGGCTCGGGCATGGCAGGGCACATGGCAGGGCCCATGCACTCACACAGAGCATCCGCTCCCGAGGGTGGGAGCCAGGGATGCTGGGCGGTGGAAGCACCCACTGCAGGGCCTGGGACCTGCCAGCTGACCCAGTCCGTGGCCCTCCCTCCCCACCCCCAGGTTCACTCGTCAAGTGTCACTGAGCCCTCAGCTCTGGCACCTGCACACAGCGTGGCTCAGACGGGCTCTCAGCCCACAGACACAGGCAGAGCACACTCTCCACGGCAGGAGCCCTGCCCACCACCCCACCACACAGGGACAGCAGAGGACGACGTCAGCGGCTGCTGGCCAGACGCTGAAGGAGGAGGTCTCCAGCACGGGGTGAGAACATGCTGATCTGACTGGAAGGAGAGGAGCTCAGCCAGGACTCAGGTACGTGCCTGGTGAGCCACAGGACTTTTTTTTTTGGTACCGGAGATCGAACTCAGGTCCTTGCTCTTGCGCGGCAGGCGGTGGAACCACTGAGCTAAATCCCCGGCCCATAAGGGTTACTGGTATTTTTGTTTTGGTTTGGTCTTTTAGGTACCGGGGATCGAACTCGGGTCCTTGTGCTTGCAAGGCAGGCGGTGGAACCACTGAGCTAAATCCCCGGCCCCTATAGAACTTTTTTAAAGAAGGTGGCCAGGGCAGGCGTGCATGGACAGGGAGGTCCGTGAGAAATTCCAAGGTGACAGGAGGGACCTAGATGGCAGAAACTGCAAGTGCCAAGGACCTAGGACGTCTGAGGGCCCTCGAGGTCGCTGCACAGGTCAGCGAGGGGCAGACAGAGAGCAGACTGAGGAACCCAGGTCTGCAGAAGACTGTCTGTCCCCTAGGGGCAGTGAGCCCTTCCTCAGGGGCAGCAGACCTGCTGGGGTGCTCAAGGGCACACGGTGCAGGCAGAGCAGATGCCAGCCACACGACAGCCCGTGCTGTCACGGAATGCAGGCAACAGGGTAGACAGATGCATCTCCCTGGCACAGCCAGGGCTGCAGGTGCCCCTGGGGGTGCCTGGTACTTTCTGAAATCCAGGCAAGTGGACAGCACAAGAGCTCCCCAGTCCCCCGCACTGCCTGACTGAGCAGAGAACAGCACGTCCTGGGTGACACGAGGGCTGCAGATCTCAAGAAATCATGACACACAAGCAGACAGAAGACGTAGCTTCTAATGAAAGGAAAACCCACAGTGCGGCAGATTGCTGATGTCTAGATGGTAGATCTGGAGAACGTCACAACTGTTGATCTGGGATCAGAACCCAAGGCAAATGTGAAGAAACAGACGAGAAGACAGTGAATTCCAGCAGAGAAATGGCAACTCCATGAGGAACCAAGCAGAAGGTTCTAAAACTAAAACTCACATGTGAATGAAGAATTGCTGGATGGGCCTCACCACAAGACAAGGACCAGCAAACTCAGACAGGACCCCAAAGTCAGTAGAAACCACAGACCAAAGCCGAGAGAGCAAAGAACTCTTAAAGCTTTTTTACAAAACAAAAACAGTAAGTTAAAGACAGGAGGATTTTAAGACGCAGCACACACACTACTCCACAGGAAAGCGGGCAGCTGTGTGACGTCGGACTCGCGATTCTACAGAAGCCACTGCAAACGCCACCCCAGAGAAGGATGGCAAGACCCTCCCCTGGGCAGGACCAGGACACTGGCACACTCACGACTGCTGGCACAGGGCCTCACAAGAGGCAACAAACAATGAAAGGAGGCACAGTCATGGACGCGGGGAAGTGGAGATGCACCTGTGTTTACCCACAGACCACCCAGCAACACACGCAGAAGACCCAGAGAACGGACAAACGAGAATCTAGAGAGCATGTGGTTAGGGGTCGGCACACAGAGAGCAAGTGCGTCTCTAACCACGAAGACCCAACTGCTGACGCGGGCTGTAATGGCACATTCCTGTAATCCCAGTACAGCACTTGTGGAGGCTGAGGCAGAAAAATCTTAAATTCAAGACTGAGCAATTTAATGAAACCTGTCCCATAATAAAAAGTAGTAGCACTGGGGATGTAGCTCAGTGCAAAAGCCCTGGGTTCAATCCTAGTATAACCAAAAAACAAAACAACACTAGCTACTAGAAAACAAAGATAAAATATGTATTTATAACAACATTAAAAATATCTAACACCTGTCTGGTGTTGTGGTTTGCTGGTAGTGAGTTTATTAGCAAGCACTAGGTTCTGGGTTTAATCCCAGCCCCAGAAGATAAAAAACCTACAAATATATTGAACAAACCAGAAAGCTCCTCAGTTGAGAACTGAAATGAAAACACAAAAAGAGACACGACATCTCTGCATCCAGAGATGACCTAGACCGTCACCCTCCCTTTTCTGACCATCTACAGGGGTGCCTGAGGTCACAGGGGCAGCAAGAGGAAGGCTGTCCGTGACAGGCTGGCAGTGTAGAGAGAGCCATCCATGCAGGGCACCGCTGTGGACGCGAGCTGCCATACAGCTGCCGTGGCACCAGGCCTCTCCAGAACAGACCATGCTCGGCTGAGGCTGGGGGTCAAGGACGTGGGTGGGTCGAGTGGAGGAGGCCCAGGCTTTCTTGTCCTCACCCAGCAGCACAAGCACAGCCTCACAAGGGGTCGTGCACGTATGGGACGCCCGTGTGTGGTGTCCACAGGTCCACGCATGCTGCACGTGACATCAAGTGGGGTGTGCACACGTGATGCCTGTGTGAGGCACACCCCAGTGGCCCCCACGAGCTGTGCCTCCTCTGTCCCATCTGGGCCTGGGTCCGGTCCTGCGGCCCATGAGAGCTCTGGCTCCCCCTGCACAGGCTGTGGGGCAGCAGCACTAACGGGGCCGGGCTGCCATGGGGAGCCGGGGCCGATGCGCCAATGCACCAACGCACCTAGTCCAATGATGCCCAAGGTCTCCCCGCGGATCCTGGCGGCCCCCGAGGCCACCTCGCGGATCTGCTCGACACTCTGGACGCGAGTGCCCTCCCGCAGGGCCTGGTGCAGCCAGGTGGTCCTCCGGTACAGGTTCAGGATGTGGCACAGGGTCGAGTCTGCTGTCTCCTCCACGGATGCAGCAGGCACATTGCACACGGCGATGCCTGCAGGGACACAGGACGATGTGTGGCCACCACATGCACCAGCACAGACCCCCGTGCTGCAGGTGGTGGGCACCCTGGTGTCACGCTGTGCCACCGAGGGCAGTGAGATGCGTGCCTGTCATACGGCCTGAGGGCAGTGCAGGTGTCAGCGAGCCCACGTGCACAGGGTCTGATCAGTCTCCAGCCCAAACACAATCCAGGCCACATTTGCGGCCTCCATGGTGGTGACTGCTCACCAGCAGACGGCCGAGGACAGGCAGAGGGATGCCCTGAGGAAGCTGGCTCCAGCCCCGCTCCCTGCCCTCTGAGCCCCGCTGCTCTCAGGCCCGCTTGCCCATCAGGCTGGCTCTCCTGGCCTGGGCCCTCCAAGTTGCACAGGTTTCTCCACCCTCAGGGGCCCTGGCACATGAGCCACCCCTGCCCTGGGCCCGGTCCCCCGAAAGAGCCCCTTTCTCCTGTAGTCCCTCTACCAGCCAGGCCCATCCCACTCCCACCCAAGCTGGGGCCTCTGCTGCTCCTCCTGCTGAAGGTCTGCATCACATGTGCAGGTGCTAGATGGGGCTGCATCCCTGAGAACCATCCCAAGTGCTCAAGGCACCTTCTGACCAGGGAGGACCCGGGCAGCACCCCAAAATGGCTTCTTCATCACATAATGGGAGAGCAAGTGGGAACCAGCCACACAGCCAGACTCCACAACTGCCCCCGGCTGGGAGGTCCTGGCGGGCCCTGGCTGGTAGGCGGAGCCCCAGCCCGTGGGATCACAGGACAGGGAAGGTGGCGCCGCGGGGTCCGTGCCTGCTGCCCCGCCCAGGAGGCCACCAGTGCAGAGGGGACCAGCAGGGCAAAGCTGGCTTCCCAACCCAGGCCTGCAGCGCCCACAGGAGAGTCTTTTAACAAGCTCCCGCCCTCGCTGACGCGTCAGGTGACGGGCGCCAATGGCAGGCACTGTGAGACCAAGCCCGTTTCATCATCTGCCACCTGCACAGACAGGGACACAGACAGAAGAAGACAAACAGCCTGCATGCAGCTGGGCGCAGGGTAGCACGTGTGAGCAGGCTCACACATGCATACACCCAGGTATACAGGTACAAATTTGTGTGCACAAGTACAGGTGTGTGCATTGTTTGCTGTAAGCGTACAAGCCCTCATATGCATGTGTGTGTGTGTAGGTTCCCGAGTGTACGTGCAGACTGATGTATGTGTGTGCAGGTATGTGCTGTGGGCACACAAGCCCCCGATTGTGTGTGCATGTGCGCTCTGTGTCTCGGGCAGACTGGTGACTGCCAGCAAGGCCCAGGCGAGGAGGTCTGTGATGCGATGCAGGCCTGTGACAGCACAGGTGGGCGTGGAGCTCGGCCAGACCTTGTGCTGCTGAACACTTAAGACTCGCGGTCCAAGCCACTGAGCTGCCGCTGCCACCTCCCAGCAGCGTCCTCCGAACCCATCACCAACCCAACCTAGCAGGCCCAGTGGACTCTTGCTCTGTGACATCAAATCAGAAGAACGGAGCCAGGCGTGGAGAGGGGCCTGCTGAGGAAGCCCACAGGAGTGTTCCAAGTTCCTACCTAAGTCCCCGGCAGATTTGATGTCAATGTTGTCAAAGCCACTCCCAATTCGGACGATGATGCGAAGGGCTTTGAATTTCTCCAGGTCCTCTCTGGTCAGTGTGATTGTGTGGTACATCAGGGCACCCACAGCCTCATTCAGCACCTGCAGGAGGGAGAAGGACTGCACTGAGGGGCACCGGCCTGCCGGGTGCTGTCCTGGCCCAGGAGTTCAGGCCTTCATGAAGCTCCCAGCCTGGGCTCAGGATCCCAGGACCAGGCAGCTGGGCAGGCCACACAGCAGCCACGAGTGTCCTCCCTGGGGCCTGGCCTACAACACAGGGACCAGGAGGGGCTGAGGCAAAAGGACAGCCAGGAAGACGAGCAGACACCGGCATGGACATCGGAGAGGACACCAGAAGGAGCCCATCGAGGTGAGCCAAGTGGGCCGCAGGGCTGTGCACGTGCAGGGCCTCTAGTGGGACACTGCCTGAGAACTGGGAGACACAAGCCGACGTCCAGTCCTGCTCACAGGGCTGGAGGGGACCTGTGGAGGGTGACCTCCCCCACAGCCCGGCCCGCCCACTCCTGCACAGCCCCACGCATGCTCAGCCCTGTCCCATGCACACCACAGCCACACCTCCCCACACGCACCCAGTCCTGCCCATCCCCAACCCCGAGACCTCAGCCCAGGTCCATGCAGGCAACTGAGGAGGCCGTGTACAGGACCCCAAGGCTCCTGGTTCTGGGGCACCCAGGGGCCTGATGACATGGCCAGCAGAGCAAGTCCCAAGCCCAGTGACTCACCCTGGGCGCTTCTCCTCCTGGCCTACAGGGGCCCCTGGGCACCCAGGACACCAGTGGAGCCATGGCCATCGCCTCCCAAGGGCAGTGCACCTGTCCCGCACTGGAGGAGATGGCAGGCGCATCACCCCTGTGGACCTAGAGGCCAGAGCACCCTCAGGGGCATGGGCAGGCTGAGGTCACAAACACCCTGGAAGGCCCCTCTGGGATGACCAGATGATCTACGGGTGCCCGCAGCAGGAAAGCCTGTGCAGAGCAGAAATAGGGGAGACAGGTCCCCATTAGATGAGGCCCTGGAGCTGTGGACTACTGGGCGCCGGGCCTGGGCACCGGGTGGGGCCCTCCCGTATGCTGTGCAGAGGTGCTGGGCCGTGGCCTCAACACCATGCATGTGTGCAGGGCAGCTCGCTCTTCTCCCAAGTGTTCACTGCAGTGCTAGCATCGTCACTCATGCTTTGCAGTGTGTACCGGCTCTTTGTGATCAAGCTGGATGATCACTTTCTTGAAGTGAGTTCTTGTGTGTCCACTGCTGCAGCACCCTGTGGACACCAGCAGCCACTCCCAACCCAGCACTGGCGTTCTGAGGCTCTTCAGGTGCAAACGGCATCGCTGTGCTGCTTTAACTTGCGCTTCTGAGTGTAACCTACCCACCGGCATCCCTCAGGAGGTTGCTTCCCTGTTCCTTCCCTACATGCCTGACACTGCAGCACCATGAAGGCCTGGGACACGAATCTGAAGGCTGCCAGGAACCTCGCTGCAGCCCTGCAGCCTGGGCCCTGTGCCATCTACAGGGTCCTTGCTCCCTTCAGGTCTTCTCTGCCCCATCAGGAGGCCATGGCTGCTCCTCCACAGGAAGCACACAGACCCGGCTCCCGCATCTCTCCATGTGCCGCAGGGCTTCATCACGCTCACTTGCCTGCCCTCGCCCAGGTATGGCTACATTGAGCCTCTGCCACCACATCAGCATCACACCCACACTGGCTTCACAGAAACCCATCACCGCGAAGCCTGGCCCGGCTGATGGAGGCCACTGGGAGCATCTCCGGTGAGCACCAGGAGCTCCACACACCCCATCCCTCACAGGGCCCTTGGCCTGTGCACCTGCTGCGTGAGCTCTCACGGCCACCTCAGCACGCTGCCCTTCTCCTTCCCAGGGCTGTCCATGCAGCGCTCCCCTGTGCGAGAATGCATGCACTTCCACAGCCCACATCAGGCTCAGTGCAGCCCACACCCTGAAGGCCCCATCCTGTACCCCCGGCTTTACCACGGGGGCACCAGGGGTGGGTCTGAGGGCTAGGTGTGCCCAGGGCAGGGGAGTACCCAGGACACCGGCAGGAGGGCTCCGTGACAAGGACCTGCCCATCCCATGCCCCATGGTGGCCCCCGTCACTCCTGGGTTCCCTCTCATTGCTGCCCGCCAGGGCCCTGGCACTGGCTGGGTGTCGGCTAGGACCCGTGCAGTCCTGCTGAGCTCAGCCTAACCCCCTCCCAGCCTCTGATGGGTGTGTCCAGACCCAAGACCCCAGCTCCTGGCAGTTCAGTTTGGTCAGATGGGCCATCCTGGGCCAGAAGCTGTGCCCCTGGGGGTGTGTGCCACTAAGGCTGCTGCTCCTGTGTCGGTGCAGAACCCCCACCTGGCCCCCAGCTCCAGCATCTCCTGGACCCTGATGCCTCCTAGGTCCAGTGAGACTCTGGAGATGTTCTTCATCCTGTGCTTGTGTGGGTGAGATGACGTCACAGTCTCCTTCTGTAGCACTCAGGCAGCAACATCCAAGCAACTGAGACGCGAGGCAGGCACTGATTTCCCTCTCACATGGGAGCAACAGGCCTTGGTATCCCTGGCTGGCTGTCCCCAAGCTCCTGTCCTGTTGCTCCACTGCTCCCAGCACACTGCTTCCCCTTCATGGTCCACCATGGCTCCAAGGCTCCAAGCCAGCGTCCGGTTTCCAGTCAGCAGAAAAAGGGAAATCTGCAGAGCTTCCCCTGACCTCTCCCTTATGGAACTTTATCACCTGGCCACACTTAACAGCAAGAAGATGTAGGAAATAAAGTCCTTACTCAAGGCCACACACCTACCAGGAAGTAGGGGACTCCGCCTGGGCACAGAGCCTTAGCAACTCAGTTTTGCTCAGAGCTCCATCTCCCGAGACGTCCTTCGCCACCTCAGCCTTCCTGTTACAGTTCTGACTTCTCATCTGTGTTCCCTGTCCCCAGGAGCTCCCACAGCTCCTGCACACCCCTTGGGTGTCACTGGTCTCCAGAGGACACAGTGCCTCCATCGGGCAGGGCAGGTGCAGGGTCTGCCCTCATGCTGGGAACCTCTGCTTAGCAATGTGGATTTTACTTTGATCTGTCCGTTCGTATGTCATGATTTCTCGTCTCAAATTCACTGGCAAAAACTGTTTTAAGTGCCGCTTATGAGTGTGGGTATTTCCTGCCTGCTCCTGTTCCATTAATTCTTCAGTTAGCTGCGCACTGTGCAATTCTCCCATGTGATGGCACTGCCTGTCCATCCACATTGCTGCCACCACACCCTGACATGGCCTCGTGACACAGCAGTTCCCTTACCCCAGGAAAGGGAGTTGCACGGTGCAGGACCCCAGGAATAAGCCTGCCTTCAGTGGTGTGTGGCGGGCTGCCTGGCGTGCAGTGCCTTGTGGGGGCCGTGGTGTGGACGATGCCAGGGTGCCTGTGGGCTGAGCTGCTGTCCCTGGTGTAGTGTCTGTGGATACCAGCTGTGCCCTACACTGGTGTCTCAGTGGGCAGGAATCTGGCACGGGCACTCGGGAATGGGGCCTGGTATCCAGCGCATGCATCCCTCAGTTTCTCTACTTCCAGCCCGGCCCCATCTCCTGAGATTTGTTAGCTACTCCCTCTCATGCTCTTCCCTCGTCCTGCCCGCTGACCTGCAGTTAAATGTCCCCCAAAATTCTTGCAGCCACAGGATTTTCCTGCTCTGCATCTCCTCGTTTTCTCTTCCAAATCTACTGTCCCCTCTCAGCATGTTCAAGGTTGGTTTCGGTCTGCTGTGGCAGCAGTAGGCATCCAGCAGTAGGCGTCCTAGCGGCTAGTGCCTCTGCTGGCGGAGAGTCTGCTCACAGGGTCTGACCTCTGTGACCACCAGGCATCTGACAGCGTAGCATGGACACCACACCTAGAAATGACCTGCAGCAACACCCTGAGGCCGAGGGCACGGCCAGCAGCAAACCAGGCCATGGTCTGGCACAGCTGGTCACAGCTGAGGGTGACCATGCCAGGTGTGTTTCGATTCACAGACGTGGCCTTGGTCCATGGACTTGGTCTCTGCTTGGACCACAGATGCACCTGTAGATCCTGGGGCCGCCAAAAGCTGAGCCCAGCCATGGGCTCACCAGGGCCATGGCTGTCCACACTGCAGGTCCTGGGCCCTCCCGGCTGCAGACTGACCCCAGCTCACTGGAAAGAACTTTACGGCTCTGCTGCCATCTCTAGTGGAAAGACTATTCGAAGTCACTTAGCTGTGATGACACCTGTCATGTGACCTGGGATCCCATGGCTCTGAGCAAGCACGAGTCATGGTAGCTGCCCCAGTGCTGCCTGCCATGCCCGCACCCTGAGAAGACATGTGATACAGGGTGCCGGGTGGATTCACACACATGGCACCCAGTGGTGGCTGCCAGAAGCCAGGTCCACTGTCAGCAGCAAACTGGCTAGGATGGAAGTGGATCGGGGTGCGAGGGTCATCCCCGCCTCTACCTCCCAACAGCTCTAAGCACAATGATGGGGCCACTCAGGCTCAGGAGCCCAGGGTGTGCAGGCTCCTGCCACATGGGAGACCCCGTGGACCCTACCTTCTCGTGGATCTCCTGCGTAGACTGTGCATCACAGAAGGCCACCGTGGCCACATCCTTCAGGATAGGCATCTCCACTGTGCAGTCCCGACCGTCAAGTAGTGCCACCAGGGGCCGCGGGTGCAGGGGCCCGTTCATGATCGGAGGTCGGACACCTGCAAGACAGAATGGGGACCTCAACTCAAGCCTGCTCTCTGCAGCCCCAGCCACCCAGTGCTGCCTGAGCTTCCTATCCTCAGGGTCCTCGTAAAAAGGAAACTAAGAGTCACCAACAAACTGGTGTTTGCCACAGTTCGCTGCCACTTGGACCCAGATTGGCAGGACCTCAGAGTCCCTGGCTGGGCTGTGGCGCCAGCACAGGGCTGTGTAAACCGCTTCGTGACTTTAGAGAAAGGCCCCATGGCTGCTTCCTTGCCTGAAGTTGCTGTGTAGTTGCCCAGAGGGTCAGGGGACAGGACGCTCCCCCCTTCCACAGGTGTAAAGGTTAAGAAACTGTAAAGAAAGAAAATGCCTACAATACACTCCAAAGCCCGTTGCCCCCAAACACAAGTAAGAATTTCTAGGCCTGGAGAATAGCTCTGAGGTAGAGCTCTTGCTTAACATGCATGTGTGAGGCCCTGGGTTCCACCGCCAATGCCACAGGGGGTGTGAATGTTACTAGTTGGGTGCAGAGGGCCACACTTGTGACCCCAGGACTCGGGAGATGAGGGAGGGGATTACAAGCCTGAGACCAGCTGGACAACTTAGCAGTGCAGCAAGACCCTGTCTTAGGGTTCAAGGGAAATACATAAATAAAAAGGGCTGGGGGTGTAGCTCAGTACCAAGGCCCTGGGTTCAATCCACAGTACTGCTAAAAAGAAAAAAGGAATGTTAAAAAGCCAACTCCTTCCAGATGTAACAGAGCTGAGCACTACTGGCCCAAGGTGAAGAAAAGGCTTCCAAGGACAGTGGCCCAAGTGCTGCCCAACACCCTCTGCACCTTGCAGGGCAGAGGTGGCCCCTCATCCCACAGAACTCACGAACCCTGCCCAGGAGAACGACGTCCCCAGGGGCATCAGGGCAGTGGATGGAGAGGGTGCGGGGGGGACCAGGAGCCAGAGCCACCAAGCAGGCCCTGCTGAGCACAGCCAGAGGCTTCGAGGATGGGGTGGCCGGCAGCCAGCCCTAGGGCAGTAGGGGCACCGTAAGCAGGAAGCAGCATGCCTGGCAGGACCACGCCAGAGGAGCTAAGGAGGCCTGCCGAGCCCCACCCATGCAGCTTCCGGCCGGGAGCAGGGCCCGAGTGCACACATGAGCGGGTCTCACTGGCCCAGAGCGGGGAGTCAGGCAGCACCTTGCCCAAGGGCTCCCAGCCTCCCCCAGGGCAATGCCTCCATCACCGCACCAGCAGCACAGAGAGGAAGGGGCCACAGTGCTGCACCAGGTCTCCTCCAGGGTGCAAGATCAGGCTGTGGCTCGCCATCCCCGACACCCTCTCCACCACAGCCCTCAACACAGCAGCTGCCCTGGCACCCAGGCAGAGAAAGACAAACCCACAACAGGCCGCCTTCCCAACCCGGACTTGGACAGCGGCCTCTACTCCTATAAAAGCCTGGTGGTAGCAGGTGACACAGGCGCTGGGGCACAGCCCCTTTGGCACCCTCGGCTTTGCTCTGTGAGAACCAAGAAGAGGGACAGCCCACAGCACAATGCTCTGAGGCCACAGGGCAAGTCCTCGGAGCACAGCAGTGACCTTGCCCAGGATGTGGTCAACACCTCATGGGAGACCAGTGACACACCCAGCCTGCACACGGTGCTGCCTCAGCAAGGACTCCCAGGCTACGTGGGCGGGCAGGGTCTGAGCGTGGGGAGGGCAGACGAGAGGCCCACGTCACCTTGCAGCTCTGTGCACCCGGCACGCTCCTCCCCAAATCAGGGAGCTGCCCAGACTCCAGCGCCAGGTCGTCCCAGCCACAGCCCCGGAGCCACCTGTGCCAAGGTGCGTCCAGCAGCAGCAGCAGCAGCAGCAGCATGACCCGGGCTGGGGATGACACATTCATTGCTCAGCCCGAGACACAAGAAACACACAGCCTCCCTGCGGCTCTGTGGTCCCCATGAACGCCACTCCACGGCAGGTTAACCTGGCCTCAGTACCACCCCTGCCTCTCAGGACGCAACAGAAACGGGCCCAGCCCAGGCCGCCACACACTGTGGGGCAGTGTCGGGCTCTGGGCACAGGGACCTCGGCCACAGCGAGCCCCAGGGGACAGCGCCCTCTGAGACTCCTCTGCAGGTCCCAGAGACAGCCTCACTCCGCCCAGGCTCAGGGAGCCCCTACCAACCTGACATTGCTTAATTGGGGCTGGGTTTCCACGACCATGAATTCGACTGTCCAAAGCCTTTTGTCTTCAGAGTCCCCAGGCAGAACTGCGTCCTGTCACGGAGCCTCATCCCACGTCTTATTGTCTCCAGCCACAGCTCGGAGGCTGCTGCTCCACGACAACCACCGGAGCCTGCGCCGCTCAAAGTCTGACTAAAAATCAAACACAAGAAACACATTAACACACGCCCAGGCCAGCCAGCTCCTTGAGCAGATGCTGCTGCGCAAACTCGGCCAGACTCCCGCCAGGGGCCCCTGGAGCACAGTGCCCACTGCAGACCAGCGAGGATCTCCCAGGCCATGGCCAGGCCTGAGACTGGGCCCCACCCCAGCATCCCAATGTGGACCTGGGAGTGGCTCTGGGGCCACCGGGAAGCCACCGGCATCCCAGGACCAATGTGTGAGGCACCAGGGTGCGGCCTGCACAAAGAGGGCTGGTGTTGGTTCCAGAAGCTTCTCTCTTTCAGTGAGTGTCCCTGGCCTCTGGGAAGCTCAGACGTTAGTCTTCCAACAAAGTCACTCAGGTGCCAGCTCTCCAGCATCCTGCCCAGCACCCCTAGTCCCCACTGCTCCTGCAGGAGGCATCCAACTCGAGCCCTAGCCACTCGGTCCCCACACACTGCTCAGCTGTGGCCGGGGGTGGCAGCCGCTGGGGCATGGGTATGGCACCCAAACGCACCAGCGGGCTGAGGCTACAGGTGCGCACAGCAGCTCCAGCCTCGGGGTGTGTCCCTGCTCATCGCACCAGGACACTACACACGGTCCAACCCTGATGTACAGCCGGGCCCCATACTGACAGTGCCAGGACCCTAGCCTGGCCAGCCCTGCGGCCACACAGGTGACAGAGATAAGACAGACCAGCTGCAGGCGGCTCGTCTTGGAACTCTGCAAAAAGGACCACACAGCCTCAAGTCCAAGACACCAGCAGGATATGGAGCCCAGTGAGCTCTGGGCCACTGCCACTCAGCCCTTCCCCATATCCTCTACGTGCCCACACTGGGCTGCTGCCGGCTTCCAGAACACACTCAGCTTTGGGGACAGAGTGGTGTCTCACTAAAGACAACGCATGATCCTCCCGGGGGCAGGGTGGGGGTACTCCCTACAGAGGGCATGGAAGCAGCGGCAAGAGGAGAGTCTAGAAGCCAGGCCAGGCCACCTGTGCCCAGCACATGGGGGAGCAGACAGTACCCCCAGCACCACAGGCCAGGCCCAGCGGGTAACCTCATCAATACAAATCGATACCCTCTGATCAGCACACCAGTGTACACCCACTCGGGTCAGCACCAGCTGCTCTGAATGAGCAAGGCTAGGAATGCCACCTGCTGTGCCCAAGGCTGCCTGCACAGCTGTGCACACCCGCTCACGTGCCCTCTCCTCTCCCAAAGGCCTGCGTGGCGGGGCTGCGAGACAGCTGTAGACAGTGCCCTTGCTCCTGACTGGGGCGGTATCCAGGAACAGCACAGGGCAGGGGGATGCAGGTAGCCCTGAGGACAGCAGCCTTCACCTTGGGACCCAGCATGGACCCACACTGAGCCACACGCCCCAGGAGTCTGCAGTCCTAGAGCCCAGTGAAGTGGGGGCCAGGAGCTGTCTCCACCTGTCCCCTGCTGGGGCACAGGCACAGGGCTCCGGGGAAGGGCTGAGTCCTCAGGGCACATCAGGGTCCTCCATCTCACAGGGCAACAGTGCCCACCCGTGGCGGAGACTTGGCAAAAACAAAGAGATCCCATGAGCCCCATGCCCACGGCCCACGGCCCAGGTAATCTAACCATCTACGTGTTCCCTGGTCACCTGCAGCTGGCTCTAACTCATGGCACACAGCAGGCCAGGAGCACAGGAAGCAGCTCCAGGGCACTGCTAGGCCCCACAGGCCCGGCGTGGTCCAGGAGGCTGCTGTGACACACTCGTGCCTGTGCAGTCGAGGCGGGTCAGGGGCACCAGGGCTGTGCCCACCTGTGAGGACCCCGGAGAAGGCGGTGCCCTCCCAAGGTACCAGCGCCCCTACACTCCCATGCACAGTGGCCAGGAAGGCCCTGCCCTTCCTGAGAGGCAAGGCTGTCCCCTTGCCGCGGCTAGGAGGAAGGCGGCTGATGCCCCACGCACTCTTGCAGCCCTTGAGAACCAGCCTCATTGCGGCCCCAGACCATGCCCTGGGTTCTCCATCCACCGACACCCACGGGACTTCTCTGGAAGCTGTGGCAGTGACGGGCACTGTGTTACGGGGGGCTGAGCAGGAGGGGGACCAGGTGCCACCTGGAATTTACATGACGTCCTGGGCAGGTATCTGCCTGACAGTCTCTGCCAGATCCAGGACCCCAGAAAGAGGGGGTGCAGGTATGCTCTGTGGACTCTGGGACTGAGCGTGCGCCCCTTGCCAGGCCACTGCCACCTGAGTGGGGCATCGCCAGGGTGGTGGGCCTCATAGCTGGTGCAGGCTCCATCTCAGCAGTGGTGGCTGGCATGGGCCTTCGATGGCCAGGCGGCCCTGCACTGCCACAAGACCAGACCCAGAGATCAGAGGCCTCCACTGCAGGTCCTCAACGGGCAGGGACACTGACTACCTATCGCCAGGGCAAGCCACCTGGAGGTCCCCAGTGATTTTAGGACTCAAACCCAGATGACAGACCAGGGACGGCCCGGCCACTCAACAACAGCTTGCCCAGCAGAGCGCCAACACCCCATCCTAGGTGAACCTGGACCTGGCTGGTTCAGAGGGAGGTAGCCTTGGTGGACAGAGGCTGACACCCATCTGGGAAGTGGCTCTGCTCACACAGGCAGACAGGGTGGGCAGCTGAAGGGTGAGTAATGCCTGTGAAGAAACCTATGGACGGGATGCCATGGGGACGGCCGCTCATACCCAGGTAAGATGCCAGTGCATGGCAGCCTTAGCCAAGGCAGGGCTGTGGCCCAGCTGGAGGTGCAGAGTATGCACAAGCAAGGGCTGAGTGTGCATAGGGAGCTGCACAAAACGCACAGGGTGAGGAGCATGCTCAGGGTTGCTGGGTGTGGCCCCTCTGACTTCATGGCTGGTCCTGTCACAAGCCCCCTAAACCAGCCCTGAGTTCCAGGGACAGCTGGGGAGGCCCCTGTGGCGTCAGCACTGGATGCTCTCCCTGAGGGTCACATGGCCACTCAGCTGGGGGAGAGGACCTGCTGGGTACAGAGCATCTGGACTTCCTTGCGCTGCAAACACTGCCCCAAGGCAAGGCCACCGAGCTGCCCAAACCTCCTGTGGGGCAGTGGGCGGCTTTGCCAGCCAAGCACCTGGAGACAGAGCAAAGTCACAGAGGACAGTGCAGCGCTGGGTCTCAGAGACACTGGGGAGACCAGGACTCACCCACACAGACCATGGGCTGTGACACCCATCACACACAGGTAGGACAGCAACTAGGGAAAATAGGTGTGAGTATCAGATACTCTCAGGATCACCTGTGCAACTTTTCTGTAAACCCAGAACTGTTCTAAAACTAAAGTTTTACTTTTTAAAAAATGGGTTAGGAAAGAAGGAGCAGCCTCCAGGATTTTGGAAGCAACAGGTCCAGGGAACCAAAGGATGACATGGGCCCTGCTCACTGAGGCCCTCGGGGACCCCAAGGGGGTCCCAGGACCAAATGGCCCATACTGAGCCACCTCCACCACCAGGCTGCACAGCCACCAGCCAGACCTTGGGCTCTGGGTCGGCACACGTGCCCCTCACAGCCCCAGGAGATCCCACACTCAGCTGCCCGAAACATCCCCCCAGGTGGTCCTTGTCCTTGGCCACAGCGCCGCCTGCCCCACAGCCGGGGCACCAGCCTCTCCAGCCCCAGGCCTGACTGAGACCCCGTCCTGGGAACGGCCATCCCACTCCTCAGCGATAACCAGGAACAGGCCCTTCTCGCCGTGTGCTGTCACCCCCAGCCCTGCCGGCAGCTTCCTGGCTTAGTGCCCTCCCTGCCTCTGGGCACCAATGCCAGCACTGCCCCCAGAAGCTCCTCAGGTCACTAGGCTACCCTGTGGCTGGCTACCCGGGCATCACAGAGACCAGGGCCTGGTCATGCAGCCAGGGTGGAAATAGAGAGATGAGACCTGGTACAGGCCAAGATGGAGCTGCCTGCTACCTGGCAGGAACTGTGGCCCTACCAGGCAACAGGTACCAGGGCCAAGGCCCCAAGGAGGAATCCTGAGGGGCTACGGCAACTCGGAGTGCCTGGGCAAAAACACAGGGCCCTGTGAGCCACAGGGGTGATGTCCATGTGCCCCAGGGGCACCTCACACACCAGGCAGAAAGTGTGAAGGTGGATTCACTGCCTCACCCATTTCTGGGGATGCTGGTGGACTTTGTTCGTCCTGTGTGTAAATTCTTCCAGAGCCCTGGTGCCGGAGACTCCTCCTCCCTGCTACAAAGAGGGAATGCTGCCCTCACTGGAAGAGCAGGCAGGCCCCTCATAACTGGCAGGATCCGGTCTGTTACCTTCCCCACCTGTGCAAGTGGGACAGCCAGTGGCTCTAAACACCTCCGGCTAGGTCACTCCTATCACACGGAGTTCAGAGCTTTGGCAGATGACAATGACAGGCACAGAAGCACCACAAGAGCCGCCAGCCTGGGGCAGAAGCCAGGAATCTGGCTCAAGTCCCACCCTGGAACCCCAAAGGATGCACTAGGCCTCTCTGAGCCAGGGTCCTTCTGCAGAGACGGTCACCTCTGCTACTGTGGCTCCTCCACAAAGATTCACTGACCTTGAGCCAAGAGACAGCTGGTCAGATAACCAAACCTTACACTAGCAATGTCCAAAGAGTGCTGGCTTCTGGCAGAGACAGGTTGGGCTGAACCTACAGGATGGGCCCTGACTTGGACAAGCACCAGGCCCAGTCCCATAGGCCAAGGCAAGCCTCCCTTCCCTACTGCAGTGTCCTCAAGCTAAAGAAAGGGACCAGAAAGAAAAGACCGCAGTCCAGAGGGAGACATCAACAGACCAGAGTCCAAGAGGACCAGAGCCACTCTGGTTACAGCTAAACAGGAGAGTCCAGGTGGGATGAGACTCCAGTGAAAGCTGGACCAGTGAGGTGAGCAGCCCAGTGTGCATCCTTCGCCAAACCTGGAAGACGCCAGAGTCACAGCACGTCCTCTGAAATGGGTGATCAAACCAGACAGAGAAGGGAAAGTGGCTGTGGAGCCAAAAGCTAGGGCAAGATGGTGCCCAAGTAGGGTGGTGAGAAGCCCAGCTGAGACCCAACTGCAGGACTGCAGGTGACAGTCAGGACAGGGAACGACAAGGACAGAGGCCCTGGAGACAGGACAGAGTATCTGCCGGGCCCAGCAGAAATGCACAGACCCTTAAACTGGACACAGTGGTGCGTGCCTGTGATCCCAGAACTCAGGAGGCCAAGGCAGGGGGATCACAAGTTTGAGGCCAGCCCAGACCACAAAAGAACAAAAATCTACAGGCCCTGGCACACACTGCATGACAGAAGCCAGCACTGTGCCAAGGGTCACCGCAGATGTGCAGGCCATGCCTGATAAGAACTCCAGAACCTCAGGCCGCAGCTGTCATCCTGAATGACCACCGTAACTATGCACCCTTACCGCCTGCTGCCTTGCCTACAAACCTACTCCTGGGCTTGGCACACCCCACTTGTACCCCAAGATGCAGGTGGGGCCACGGACACCCAGAGGCCACGTACTGGTCAGGGCAGGCTCGGCCCATGCTCCTGCCCACATGGGTCACTTCTCCAGAAGGACCCCACGAGTTCAAGGATGACACAGGCAGACACCTAAGTTCCTGACTGGCACCCCCTAGCCGGTGGCATTCCTTTATGGTCATTTACAATGACAAGCGCTCTGTGCCTGACTGATCAAAGGGACCTGGGCGTCTGGGCGCCGGACAGGGAAAAGCTCGGCCCCCAAGACACAAACGGCCTCGCACCCCCTTGACACCCCGGCCGGGCCCCACTCACAACCTGACTCCGTGGGCTCACCTTCCTGACTACTCAGGGTACCCGGAAGAAAACCAATCTCCTCCGGTTTTCCTTCCTAGAAGGCATTTTCGTCCTAACCAATCGCGAGGAAACTCATCAGGACAAGGATCTGGCCCCGGGCCAGGGGGCTGCCTACAAAGCGGGCCCGGTCCCCCGCAGGCCCGGCCTCCCGCAGGCCCGGCTGGCGGCAGCTCTGGGGGCCACGCCCGGAATTTCCCCTTTCCGGATGGCAAGGGCGACGCGGCGCGAAATAACCACGCCTGGCAAGGGCCGAGGCCTGGCGGGCCGCTGCTGGCTACCAGACAGGCGGGCAGGGAAGGTGCCCTTGGGGCGCGGGATCCGGCAGGTCCAGACCGCCGCTGAGCGGGGAGGCCAGGCCCTGAGACTGAAGGGTTTGCACAAACGGAGGAGGCAGACGGGCCACAAGGCCTGCGGCCAAAGCGAGTCCCCGCTGTTCCCCGCACAGGGCCGGCCCACGCGGGAGCAGGCCCCACACCGGGAGTGGGGCAGGAAAGGGCCGCATGAGGCCGGCAGCCAGGGGTCCGGCGGGGCCACCGCCGGGGGGAAGGTCCGGCCCGCGGCCCCTTTGTCACCTGCGCAGGCCCTGGGAGGGCGGATGCGCACGCGCACGCGCCCTTACACGCAGCGGCTCGCGCAGGCGCACGGCCGCCCTCCCGCCCCGCCCCCCGCGCGCACGCGC